GATCCGTTGCGGGACACGGAAAAAAAAAAAAAAAAAAAAAAAAAAAAAAAAAAAAAAAAAAAAACCACTGATCTCAAAGATTCCCTCCAATTATGAAATACTTTGATGTCTACTCTTAGATAAGGTTAGCCAGTATATGACCATGCAACTAATTTATTTTAATACTAGATAAAATTACTTGGTTCAAAAGAGGTTTGGTAGCAAATATACACAATACACTGACAGGATAGTTCCAGTAATTTTTTTTTCTGATTGAGAATAGCATAAATTCAAAATAATGTTTGTTCTTAAAATTCTAAATTAAATGAAGAGAGTAGTTTAGAGTTTTGGTTTGTACACCAAGAAACAGACACATGTACACACCTGTGAATGTTTTATATAATAGATAATCATCTTAATATAAAAGATATATTTGAAGTATTAATTTTAATGTACTGAGTATGATTTCTTTTATAGGTTTATATATGGAATTTTGTCATGTGAGATGAGCTACAAATAAATAATATCTTCAGCAGATGAACTTGCCTCTGACTTTGTAAAAAAAATTGAAGCCATTAGCCTTTTTCTCCCTTAAGTTAATCCCATGTCTACAAAAGAGTCTTTCTTTGCACCTTTTTTTGCTTCAGCCTCAGAGGATGGGGTACCTTCTGTTCAAGACCAAGCCTTCAACCAGTGCCCCTGAGACTCCTATTTTGTGTTAGAAAATGAGATAATCAAGTGCAACCCCCCTCAACTCCCTGCAACTTTTAACTTTTACTCATATCCTAGACTGTCTCTGTCCCAGAGAATACCCGTAAGATGTCACGCCTCAGATTCAAAGCCACAACACCTTGGATCCCATTTCTTCCTGCCTTCTCTGGAGTCTTCTTCCTCCACAATTCATTCTTTCCCATTCTCTCTCTCTCTCCTGCCCCTACCTCTCTCTCCTCACCTCTCTTTCTCTCCTTCCTTTCCTCCTCTTTATACCTAACTTCTCCTATTGTACATATTCCCTCCTCCAGGCTTACAAACATTGAAATCTTTCCCAACTGAAAAACAACATGAAACCTTGCCTGAGACCCAAATAGATCTCCAACTTCAGATCATTTCTATCTTTCTTTTCTCATCCTATTATCTTAAAATAGTAGGGTATATGTGGCAGCCAGGAGAGCATGCCTCAAAGACCTTCAACTATGGGGAATTTAAGTGACCTAAGATCCCAGCTGCTATGGTCTGAAATCTATCACCATATTTGTGCCAAGACCAGGCTTCCTACAGGCTGCTGAACCCAATGATTGTTTGTGGCAGGGATACTAGCATAGGCCTTTGCCTGAAAGATACAACTCTCCTCACATGGCCCACTTTAGTTTGAGGATCCCCTGACAGCCTTGATAAACATACCTTACTCTGCACAGTGCTTTGAGATGCTTCAACCCAACTGTCCCATCTCCTGCCTTCATTGGGGCAGACTGATAATGCAGTCTGATGGCTCCTCCAGCCTTCTCCAGCTCCCTGCTCATTTCTTTCCACCCCCCACACACATACCGGAAGAAAATCCTTCATTTTCAACCCCATCTTGGTGTCTGCTTTCCAAAGAATCCAAACTGAACACTGTACAGCTGGAGAGTTTGTAAAAATACACAACTTCCTCCTCAGGTGAACTGAATCAGAAACTCTGGGGAAGGAACATGGAATCCATTTGTAATTAGCTCTAAAGATGAGTCTGATGCTCAGTCAGGTTTGAAAATTCCTTGTCCCTATTCGTCCTTTGCCACCTTCTCAACTTAAACTCAGTCTTCAACTTATTGAAATTTGGTCTCTGCTACAATTACTATGAAGTCATCTCTGTGTGGTATCCCAGAAGTTCCTCTAACTCATAAGACTCAAAACTGAACTCTTTGTCTTTTCCTCTTAAACCAATTATCCCTCCTATAGATTCTCCCTCAGCAATATCTCTACCACCCAGTCGTCCAAGCTGGAAACCAGAAGTTACTCTGTTTCTGCTTTCTTTCTCCATGTCCAATGAAACATCATTAAACAGAGCTCCCAGAAAACAAGGACTCTGTCCTATTCGTGTTTATATTCCTATACTTTACATGATATTTGAAGCCCTTCATCATATATTCAAGAATGAAACAATACATGAGTGATTTATCCGCAAGGAATGTGTTAATCCTTTTGGCTGCCACTGTAATTTACCTTAATTGTTTCAAATTCCACTGATGGCTGAGAAATGCCTGTTAGATTTTCCAGCATGTAGATCATTGGAGACCTCAGAAAGATTGAGCAATGGTGAATCAAGGCCAAGCTGATTGCAATGGTGTCACCTGTTGGGCTCTCTGGAAACAGATGCTGGGATAGAATTCAGGCTAAAAGTTGTCTATTCAGGATCAACATTGGTGAAAGAAAGAGGGGAGAGCCTGACAGCTTCAGCCAACCAGACGTGAACTTCCGGAGTAAATGCTGCCCATCAGTTATCTTCCTTCAGGACAAAATATCTGGCCTTTTCAGACCACCTTGCTCATTACCATATATGGGTCCCCCTGGGAAGGGCATGACCTTGTACAAAATGACTCTGGAGCCGTGGCAGACCTGGAAGGAGCAGACAGATGAAGGCTGTCTGCAGACCACCCTCCCTTCAGTGACAGCAATTCCTTCCTTGAAGGGGGTCTGGTGACCCAGGTCCAGAAATGTGTTGAGAGGTGAATGACAGGTTAGACAATTGAGACAGTCAACGTGAACACCTTTTTCCAGAAATTTTATTATAAAAATGAGGAACATGAGATAAGTAATAAATATTTTCCACGTGGGAAAATAAAGTGAAGGAAGGTCTTATTTATTTTGCTTTGGGTAATAATTTGTTGCCTAAGACCAAAAAGACTTTGGCTTATTCAAACGCTGATGGAAAGGAACCTATCAGCTTTTATGTTTCAGGGAAAATAAAAAATGGAAGAGAAATAAGGAATAATAATCAAGGATCTAAGTTCCTGAAAACAAATTACAAATTTTTTTTCTAACAAATTATTTCTTACCACATCTGTGAAATGCTAAGCATGATTCTGGACACATCAGAAGGACTTAAATATTACCAATTATTATTACTATTATTATGATTAATTTTGAAATATCTGCTGATATTGCCTATATTGTCACAATCACCACACATCCTTAAGGGTTTATTTTAGTAACTAAATATGTCACTCTTTCCACCTTCTGTTTGAAATTATCAGCTAAATTACATAACCTTAAACAAGATTCTAAACTTTGCTAAAACTCAGGATCTTCATTTATAAAATATGGAAATAACTACTTTATTGGATTGTTGTAAAAATTAATTGAAACGGGGTACTTAAGCATTTTGTACAGTGTCTGACACATGTTAATTATTATCATCATCACCCTGCTTGGTAGTTTGCTATTATACATTCTGAATGTGTCAACTCGATGGAATCCTTTTGAGCACTATTTCAATGATGGCAAACTGTGTGTCCCAGTTGTTTGCCTGCTGATATTAGAGAGTAATATAGAAACACATAAGATTAAACACAATAAATAAAATAAATAATAATAAAATAAACTTGTCAGGTCCCGTTCCTA